ATACTCTTCAGCTAAAAAAAAAAAAAAAAACTGACTTCCATCCTTATATTGACTAATTTGTACTTAGATTTATGCTCTTTAAAATTTAAGATAAAAAAAAAGTAAAATTATGTATTTTAATAAAATATGATAAAAAAAATAAAAATAATCTCATTCTTTTGGTAATAATAAGTTATTTTAGGCGGTGAAATTAATTTCTCCGACAGGATTGACTCTTCATTTCCAAAAGAGTCAAAAATTGGGGGAAATTTATCTATTGATCATGATACTCGCGCAAGCCCACCTCAAGCCCATGAGAGCCCAAACATGGCCCATTGCAGCTCCGATGCTCCTACAAATGTTGCTGAATCACCACTGTAGGGCAACCCAATTTCTCAACAATCCTCTAACTGTGCTCAAAATATGAAGAACCTAAAGCTTGTGACCGGGTTGCATCGTGGGATCAGAAAGAAGTCAGCAAGAATAGGGAAGAGAGGTAAGAGAGATGGCGACAGCCTTTCAAGTCTTTCTTTTTCTGATAGCATCACGGAGAAAAGAATCCAACTTAAGGATATCAGTATTGAAGACATGGATATTAGACGTTTTGTGGAGTTTGGAAGACAGCTAGGGTTGTGCTTCGTGGGTAATGAAGAAATCTTTGCTTCCAAATTTCGTGAGTTAGAAGAGCGTGATAAGGGGTTGCAAAAGTCCTAAATCATGCTGCTTTATCTACCAGATCTCTTCTTAAAATGAAGGTAATATCTTTTAATATTCGTGGGCCCGGGAACAGTGTTAAGAGAAAGGAATTGAGGAAGATAGTCAGTGGTGAACATGTGAATTTCTTGATGATCCAAGAAACAAAACTCGAGACAGTTGATGAGAATCTGTGTAGATCAATTTGGGGGCAAGAGGACTTTGAATGGTATGCGAAGAGTGCAGATGGCAGATCTGGTGGTCTTCTTTGTATTTGGGATTCTCACTTATTTAAGAAAATTGATCTATTTGAAGGAGACGGTTTCATCAGTGTGGAGGGTCTGTGGGGGGCAAATAAAACTAGTTGCTGCTTTTCAAATGTTTATGGCCCCTGCAATGTTACGGGTCGTGCAAAGCTTTGGAATGACATTTCTGGCCATATTAGTTGTCGAACGTGCATTTTCTGTATTGGGGGAGACTTCAACTGTGTTAGAGGAGTGTATGAAAGGAAAGGCAGAATGATTTCTCATCCTAGTACTGATGATTTTAACCAGTTTATCGATACAAATGGTTTGGTTGATTTGCCGTTATCAAATAGGAAGTTCACTTGGTATAAGAGTGATGGGTCTGCCCAGAGTAGGCTCGATAGATTTCTTCTTTCTGAAAACTTTCAAGACGCTTGGGGTGACTGTGTCCAAATAGCTTTCAAGAAAAGCATAAGTGATCATTGCCCTGTTAGTCTTACCTCAAGCAATGCCAATTGGGGCCCTAGACCATTTAAGTCGATTGATAGTTGGACTTCACATCATGATTTTGGTAAAATGATACAGAGTTTGTGGAACTCTTTCCAAGTTGAGGGATATTGGGGTTTCAAATGTAAAGAAAAGCTAAAGGCTCTTCGAATGCACCTAAAGCAATGGAACAAGGATGTGTTTGGTAATATTGATAGCCAACTAGATGAAGCCCTAAAGAATATTGAGGCGATTGACATCAAATGTGAAGGCCAGGATATTACAGAGGATGATATGCTCAAAAGGAAGGAGGGATTTGAAAACCTTTGGCAATGTTTAAAGAAAAAAGAAAGTTTGTGGAGGCAAAAGTCTAGAGC